GACGTAGTGAGACATATTCTCTTTTTGAACCTGACATAATAGTAGTACATTACAGTATAGTGTTTTTTTTAGATAGATAGATAGATAGATAGATAGATAGATAGATAGATAGATAGATAGATAGATAGATAGATAGATTGATAGATATTTTTAACGCACTCTTCATTAGCCCGCTGTGCACGCTTTGGCCTCATCGCGGCAGTGTGGTTCAGAGCATGTAGACAACATACCTAATCTACGTTCATTAAACGACCAGAAGAAGACGGTAGCCGACATGACACCAACGAAGAAGAAATGGCCGCACCCGCCTTCCGCGCAAGGGAGAGCGGGATCGAAACGCTTGGATAAAGAACATCGGAAAGAGTTGAGGGCTTCGTACATGGAAAAAAAAAACAAAAATTGAGTGGTGGCGCTTCATGGAAGGCGAGGATTGCCAATTGACACGATTTGAAAACAACCACGAACGAAGGAGTTCACAGGTAAGCACAGCTGGGCTGCGAATAGTCAATGTGAACGAAATTAATGAGAGGGTTTGAAAGGGTTTCAAAGATGACAAAATGAATGAACTAAATATAAAAAAAAAAGAGAGATAGATCAGGCAATACTGTTAATGAGCGTAAATCGAGATTTCAGTGGTAATTAATTTTTTTTGTGTGCGTGTAGTTTTACAGGACTACACATTGGGAGGCCAGAGAGATGGGATTGAGGTCGACGCGCTAACCATATATATACTTTTTTTTTTTGTAACAAGCGTATTTAAACATTTTTGTTGTCCTTCAGTAGTGGCAGTGCCGACTATAGTCAACGCGGGGCTCCCTATACCCTTGAGGACGATGGTATATGAGAAATTAAATTCTAAATCTGTCATGACTCACAAGACATACGTCACACATGCAAATGTAAATACGTATAAATACAAAAATGTAAATATGTATAAATACTACAGTAGTCTAATCTTAATCCTTGGACTGGATGGCGCAGGTCTAATCTGGTCCACGCGTATGATCATCATCATCACCACGGCGATGATGAATTGATAAATCCACGTGAACGCAGACAAACAATAATAACACAAATGAACAAGCGGATGCTCGGCTACCTTGACTATTCTAATCCTCATGTTGAGTGCACCCCATCTAGTTGAGGGAATTAAAATCTCGACAAATAAATACGTATTAAACATTCATTTTGATTAATAAATCGAAAATGTGCAAGAAGGCGAGCGAACATATTTAGCAGCATCACACAAGCTAACAAGAAGTTCTCCAGCTAGCTTCACGCGAGAAATGATGTAGCTTGCGCGTGCTAGTGCTTTGTCTACATTGCAGGACTGACACCCTAATTCAAATTTTAGCCCTTAATTTGAAACCCAAACCTTTGCTAAAAATCTCAATCTTGTCTTGAAACCCTCATTTAAATTTATTGTCTTCAAACCTTAACCCTTATTTGAAACCCTAACCCTGGTTTCAATAGTTTTTACAAGTTCCAACTCTATCTTGAAGCTCTGTCAGTTGTTTAAAAACCTAACCCAGGCTTGAAATCTGCAACATCGCTTAAATACTTGAAACCCGAATTCTGGCGCAAAACTCAAACTTTTGCTTCCCCCATGAGCATGAAAAAGACAACCAGACACTTCTTGGCGACCATTCACGCTCTCTGACATTGTGATATCGATTTGTGCGTTGTGATAGCGGTTTAAGCTCAGCCGCTTAAACCGGTCGTTGGTAAGTCGGTTGCCATTTAGTTTGCGAATACGGTTAAGCCCGGGGTGGGGGGGGGGGGGTCCCCCGACCAATCCCACCCTCGTTTGTGACATGCCACTCGCTTTACACTAAATGGGGATTACCTTGCACTCCCATTTGGAGCTTTTGTTCACAAAACAATCGGCCCACAATGAAAACCATCAAGTCAACCTGCCTCCACACAGATTTCCACCGAGCATCGCCGCAGATTTGCGCCGGTCACCAAAATGGGAGTTTCCATTTGGGACATGTACGTGAATGGACAAACCAAGGGACAATGGGTTACATTTTTTTTTTGGCATGTGCAGCACGTGGGTGGAGAGCAAGTGTGAAAACATCTGTCAGCGGGTAACAAAGCAGCGCTTGCAGATGTTCCTCTACTGCAACCTTGTGAAAGGAAAGCGGCCCTCCCCGCTAGCGGAAAAAAATGTGGCATTAAGCGCCACCTTCTGCTTTCGTCCTGACACAAGATGGACTCTAATGCATATTTAGCCTAGCTTAGCTTAGTTTAGGGCCTGAATGAAGATGGAAAGTGTAACAATAAGCCGCGGATTTAGCGGCAACAATAGGGGCAACCTACATTTGACTTAATCTTTGCTGGGATTAGCGTGCGCGGCTAACGGCGCAGGATATCAAAATGCATATTTTTTTTCTCTCTGTGGCGGCGGGATCACGACTTTCCTCATATGCTGCCGAATTACCCGCCCGAACGGTCGCCATTAAGGGCTGGGATGTCACGACTTTTGTGTGCTAATGGCCTCCTTGTGTTTCCAAAGGGCTTAGCTTATTTTATCTTACTTTCAATTGTGTGTGTGTGTGTGTGTGTGTGTGTGTGTGTGTGTGTGTGTGTGTGTGTGTGTGTGTAAATGGAGAGACACATGTTAACATTTTGCATGTCTGCGTGTAACAGGCAAATATTGACTTTGTGTTGTGGTGCCAACATACAGAAAAAACAAGGTTGGCCGGTCATTTGAGAATTGTAATTTACTTTATTTCTGACTTTTGTTTTCAGATTTGGGCGATATTAATGTAGTTATGAATGAACACACAGATGATTCCAGAATATGTGAGATGACAGACACGCATGTTGGGATCAGACGTGTATAAGAATGGACAGACCTTCACTTTGTGTCTTGTTTTGTGAACGGACTCACTTTTAGTGAAATAATATCCTAACTGGCAAACATTTTTACACGATATGTGAACCGACATCCATACGTTGCCATGTCACACAGAATGGCAACGTTGGAATCTCATTTGCCGGTGACATCGCGAAGCTAACAAACGTCCAGCTTCTCCCTGCTTCCTCTCCCGCGCAAGCTAGCGAGTGTGAAGTCACGGAAAGGACAAGCCGCCCGACGCGACGCTACGCTAGGCTAATTGCTCATGATGAATCAAATGGGGCAGCCCGCCCTTATTATTACAAGGAGATAAATTGCGCCAACACTTCGAGGCTGCCGGCTAGCGATAGCGACGCTAACGGCGGCGTAGCATCCGTCACGCTAAATAGCTCGCTAGATTATTGCGCGGCAGAGGCGGCGGCGGCCATGTTGGGGAGATAAGACGCGGCGGGGGAGTCGGATGCCGAGGATCCCTTCTCGCTGACGGCGCAGAGCCAAGGGCAATGACGGCTAAGTAATGTGTGGATTATTGCAATTAGCATGGCAAAGTACTTACAGGGATCAAATTAAAAAATTCATTAAGGCGCACAGTTAATTAAGGAAGACTTTTCGGGGCGTACGGGATAAATTATGACGCCTATTAAATGTGTGACGGGCCGCCCGGGCTCCCTGGCGGGAAGCGCGCTGCCGCTTAGCAGCAATAACGTTAGCCTGCCTACTTTTTTCTTTAGGTTTATTTATTAATTTATCCCCCCCCGTCACTGGTTTATTTTGAGTGGTCGTATTGTGCGGGTTGACTGTTGGCCAAAAGGAGTGATTGCGGGCCTACTTTGATGGGCTCGGTCGATTGCAATGATGGATCGCCCTACCCAGCCATCAAAACTGAAACCAAAGCCAGAATTTGGTTTTAAACCTTGCCGGTGAGCTCGGACACTAACTCATATTTGAAAGTCTAATCTAGACTCTAATTTGAAACCCTAACTTTGGTTTTACACTATAATTTAAAAGCCTAACCCTTTGTTGAAACTCTGAGTCTTGAAACCCTAATTTGAATTCATGAACCTTGTTTAAAACACTCACCAAACCTTGAAACCCTACAATTGGCCTGAAACCCCAGAGTAATTTGAAACATGAACTCTTTTTTGTGAAACCTGAATTTTAAACCCTAAATTTGACACAATAAATGGAAACCTTATCCCGCAACCCAGACTTTGAACCCTAATTTGACACCCTACACTTGGGACCACACTGTAATTTCTAACCCTAACCTTCAAATCCTAATTTGAAACCCGAACGGAAGCTCGAAACCCAAAGATTGTCTAGATCCGCCACCTCTTGTTTGAAACCTTACCCAGTACATTTGGTGCGAATCAAAACAAAAAGTTTTGCCCAGTTAAAAGTCCTTTGGTGCCCGAGTGCATCGGAGTCAACTTAAAAGCGAGCGGGCCGTCAGAACCTTACCGAGCGCTCGTCGCCGGGGATCCACGAGGGCAAAACTTTGGGCGAGATAAAAGCGGCGGAAGCTTTTGTGGTAATTTCCCTTCCGTCTGTCCCCGATCTGCGTCGGCTCTGTAATTAGAGTGCCGCGGCCGTTTCTCTAATCCTGACGGCGCTTCCTCATTCAGGCGCCATTGTCTGAGCGCCGCAACGTGCTCGTCCGCGTCCTTAAATGGGCAGATAAGGCTCGCCTAAGCCTTTGAAATCGGCCCCGCCGCACGTGACCGACGTCGGTAGCTCGCACGCGCGCACTCGCCGCCAGAAAGAAAGAGCGGCCGGCTTAGCGCGGGACGCCACGCGACACGACGGGCTGCCGCCCTCATTCTAACGCATCCCACAGGACATGTTTCCCAGGCGGAAAGTCGTCGAGGAGCGTCCGCGATGGCGCCCCGGCGGGACTCGATACGACGACGACGGGAGTGATGAAATGGTCAGATGGAGCGCCCAGCGTGGGCACGCGCTCCAAAACGAGATTGCAACACGTGACTACAGGGCCGCTTCTGGTCATTGTTCTCGCTTTAAATGGACAAGAATACATACTGCGTCTTCAGTGGGAGGGGTGCGGGGGGATAAAAAAGTGAAGAGGAAACAAGTTAAATTCTTAGAGGACTGTTTGTTTTGTTTTTTTTCAAGAATAAGGTCAGGATTTTGTGCATTTCATCATAGTTATTATTATTCAGGAATGGGTGAGCACCAATGTCAGGTATCGATCGGTCTAACCTTATTTTTCGGTACCTGTAGATACCGCCCATACCAGCCACCGGAATAAGTCCTCCTCGGCACTATCCTGCGGCCGTTTGACACACGAGCGAATGAATCATCATCTGCGCTGCAAAGAAAGGTCACCATTTTTTTTATTATTGTCTTCAATGAAATTTGACAGAGTGTATCAAAAAGAGTACAAGAGGTATCTGTACTTGGTATCGGGGAGCGAGAGTCAGTCGTCGGGAAGTTTGAACGCGGCAAAACCAAAGCACGGCAGCGGCATCCGACTTGTGGGCATGGAGCCGCCAGCCCCCGCGCCCCTGGACCCCAAACACCACCAACAACACCCCCCCCCCTTTTTTATAATCCCCCCCCCCCCCCCCCCACCAAAAAAAAAAAAAAAGTAAAAGGAGCCATCTGTTCACCACCGGGGGGGCTAAGGAACATGTTGACATATTGCCACGAACGTTATGAAACACACGCTTCATCATTTCACCGCCGCCGCATCGTGATTCATCCGCAAAAAAGAAAAAAAGGGGGTCGGCGCGCGACATTTCTTCCTTTGACGTGTGAAAAGTTGAATCACCAAGTGGACGCCTTCTGAGATGAGTCGCGATTTTCCAGGAAGGCGGATCTATGATTTTCAAAGCTGATCTTTTTGAGAATGGGCCTTCGCCTGACCCCGCCCCCTCTCATTTGGAAGACGGATTTTTCTCGAATCTTTTGTCATCGCAACTCGGGGCTGTCACCAACACATTTTTTTTGAGAATGGTGAACTTTTTGCTTTTGACTTAGATCAACATTTTGTGGTTGTTTTTTTTTTTCTTCTTCTTCTTCTTTCTGTTGTGCGAGGCGACAATCAACATGAGTAACTGACACCTGATCGAGTGTGCCATGGACTTTTCTGGATTATTTCAAGATGTTCCATTTACTCCAGGTGCCAATTGTAATTCTGCCTAATCAAAACAACACCACTGCCGCGAGTGGTTGATCCCAATTTGTTTCCATTTCCATTTTTACATTTTTACCGTTTTAAAAAAAAAAAAAAATCTCATTTACTCAGATACTTCCTGCTTCGTGGCTCGCTCGCGAGGCGGCCGCGGCGCGCCGAGGAACAAGCTGCAAGGTTATATGGATGTTGATGGGGAGAAGCTGCATAATTAATTTGTATATTCTAGCATGACAGATGTTTGATTTTGGCCCTAAAAGTAATTAATAATAAGAGAGTGCGGCGAGAGGCAGATTGCCGCAAGATTATTTATGAAGACTCCTCACGGACCAATTTGAGCAGCATGCATGTGTGTATATGTGTGTGTGTGTGTGTGTGTGTGTGTGTGTGTGTGTGTGTGTGTCACCTGCTTCCTTAGCGGTCCCAGCTGTTAGCCTAGCTTTTAGCACTCTCGTGGATGGAGATTAATATAGAGAAAGGGGTGGGGTGAGGGGGGGGGGAACATCACGCAAAACAAGGCTGTAATTGTCGACAACAACGTGGTGGGATTTCCACTAATAGGATGCAATTTCGATATCAGACACCATCAAAGACAATCTACCGTTCCTTGTAATGCAAATGATGGACTTTAAAGATCATCGACCATTGAAAAGGACGCAAATGTGACACTGTCTTGTCCAGGGAAACCGAGACAACGAAAGTGTTAATAAAAAATGATGAGATGTATTTAAGAAAGAAAAAAAACATGGAGGGACACCGTTCACAGATGTGTCGAGGCAGCCTTCTCCCCCCTCCCCGCGTCTTGCGCTCTCATTTGATCTTGTTGGGAGGCGGTGAAGGTCAGCGCAATCAGCGTTTTGAGCAACTACACAAAGTACAGACTGGCGCATGTGCAGGCAACTTTGCTTATCCGCAAAATAACTGGTGAGCATTCAGTGGTACAAACAGTTACTTCCATTTCGCGCTTGTTATATGTCAAATTCCCATTACATCTTGAAAATATTTTTGCGAGATCACGGGGGCGACAAAAATGAGAGACCATAAAACATGGCGAGCGCGCATGAGACGTCAGATCAATAAATAGATGTCCAGGAGAGATCATCGGCCTTTCGACATTGCGCAATAGACATCGGAAACATTGAGTAGGATGCAAGTACGCTCCTGCGGTGAGAGCGAGTGTTGAGCTTCGCTGCGAGCGCCGTTATGAAGCTCCGCCTGACTTCAGATGATTAAAAAAGGAAAAGCAATGCATGGCGGAATGTTGACAAAGGGCTGAAAGTCATCTCCTTAACGAGGCTGTAAATCAGCCGCGGAGGCAGTTAGCGCAAAGTCGACGTGATTGTTTGAATGTGCTGTGCTGATTGAAGCCGTCACGCTGCGTGACGCATCTCGTAGCGCCGCAACATTGTCTTCGCAGCAGAGCCCGCACGCGCCGCATTCTTTTCGTATTTATTTATTACTTGATAGCGCCTTCGGAGGTGAAGACTTCAACACCGGCCTCCCACCCTTTCTCTCGTATGCTGTAAAAGGAAATTCAACAGACAAAGCCAGTCTCAATTAGCAACACGGACTTTGTTTGGTAGACGTCATGAGAAAAGTCACAAAAACAAATAAAAATTTAAAAAATAAGCCACAAGAGGCCAGGGGTCGTTTTGGCTGTTTCCAGTTGCCCTTCAAACACAAACTCCAGCAAGTTTTTGAAAATTCAGCCCCCCAAGCCGGTTTTACTGAGCAACGTAAAATTTGGTCGACATGTCCGTTGTGAGCAGACACAAAAAAGTCTCATGAAGCCATACCCGGAACAAGACAGCAAGGCAGGCGTTTAGGTTTGAAGAGGTCCGCCCCCCTCCCACCCCCAACTTCAGTTACCAATGTAAGATTTGGTCGGCATGTTCATGTGATGAGAAGACCCACAAAAAAAGTCTCAGGAAGCCATGCCTCAAAGGGCACACAAGGCAGCCATTTTGATTTGAAGCGGCTATTTTATGCATCATTTTGGCCATTTTGGGGTCCTCGAGAAAGGGACTACTGTCTCATTTTTTTTCATTACCACCAAATTTGAACCACAAAAACTCGACAGGTGGGTGACGGTAAATAGTTTTTTTGTTTGTTTTTTTGTTTTTTTTATCAATGCATGTGGCCGAAACATGCAACAAAGTTTGATTCCAAACAAAGACGACACAGTCATCCGGAGGCGAAGCGATTTCTTCCCAAATCAATCGCTTCCATATCGCAGCTCGTTTCAATTCCGTCAGCACAGATGAACAAATAAACAAAATGATATCCATGAGGACAAACGATTTTTTTTCCCTTGATGAAAGTGTGAATGTTTGCCAGGGAAGGCTCGTTTACGGCGGATGCGCACATAGACGCTATACGAGCGGCCGTTTGCGTGAGTGATGGGCCACCGCCGCGTCAGTGTTTATGACAGATTTCCGGCCTGCATTTCCATTCCACTTATTTTGCCTTTAATGCATGTGTGAATCAATTAATTCCGCCGTCATAAAAAGGAAGGCCGCCGTAAAGTGTGCGCCGGAGTTAATGAGTCCGGCATTACCACATCATTACACCAGCTGGCATAACGGAGCATGTGTTGTTTGTCATAATATGTGCCGACACGCTTAATAGTCATAAATTGTTTGCTACGCCGTGTTTGGTGACAAAGATGGAGGGCCTCGCGCACTGATTTCAGCCGGCGCCGTCACCCCGCCGAACGCCCAAAATGAGCTTACGGGGATCAACGGGCAAGCCGCACCACCGAAACGCTTAACATCCAAAACGTGGCTGCAACATTGAACGCGTGTTCCGATTTCCTGTGCCGGCGTTTTCTGACTTTTTGTGTTGACCCTTGTAGGGCAATTTCTGATATTTCCAATTGTCCTAGATATGAGTTTTTGAAAATTCAGCTCCCGAAGCCTGTCAAACTTAGCAATGTGAAATTTGGTTTGTGTCAATCGCGAGTAGACCAACAAAAAAGTAGCAAAGTGAAATTTGGTTTGTGTCAATCGCGAGTAGACCCACAAAAAAGTAGCAAAGTGAAATTTTGTCCGTGTCAATCGCGAGTAGACCCGTAAAAAAGTCTCAGGAACCCCATGTCTGAAAATATACAGCAAGTCTGACACTTGCTTGCGAGATCAACATTTGAAGCCTGTTTTAGGTTCTTCCAGGTGCCCTCCAGAAGCCGACTCATCCCACTTTAGTTGTGAAAATTTGAGTATGGGCTGTTTCATGTGGATGGAGAACTGCCGTGATGCGAGTTAAATGCCATCCTTTTGATTAAAGAGAAAAAGAAAGCGTCCGTATTCCAGATCAGAGGCGGCAGCATGCGAGACGAATAAGTCCGTTTGATTTGTTTACCCGCCCAATATCCGGGCCAAAACCAAAGCAGTTTTTCTTGGAAAATCTCTGTGAGAAATTTCGACACATTTCATCCAAGATGGACTTCACCTTAAAAAAAACGGCGTTTACTTGCAATCGAAGCCATATGTTTAAGGACGCGTGTACAATCTTTGAGATGAAATGAAGGGTTTATGTTTGGACAGGAAAACAACCAAAAATCTCTCCATATTGAGAAAATGCTTTTCATCTCTTGCCCCCGTGATGAATTCCTTAATCCGCATCTCATTGTGACGAGCCATGTAATTACATACGCCGGGATGAATAATCCATCTTTTCAAGCTGCTTGTAGCAGCAGACGCGACATCAGTGGATTACGCCGACTTTCGCTCGCAAAGTCAGCGTCAGGCGGGGGCTCTTGACCCGGAAATTTCCTGGATTCTGAGGTAGTGTCAGAGGTTGCGACGGGGCCGGTGGAGTCCCTTTGGCAGTGGCCATCAGGAGGGCGCTTGGGAACCCGTTGGCCCCCAAAACTCTGCCGTTTTGCTTGGTGACACCGCAAAGCGCACCTGTTTTGACCTGCTTGGCGATTCGGTTGACTGCTTGCAGTTTCACGAAATAACTCGATATTTGAGGGGAAATTCAGAGCACGTTTCACTCCGCAACATGAAATGTTGTAAGCATTTCTATCACGAATAGACTCACCAAAAAAAGAAGCTGTAATCGAGAAGACATCGGATGTCTGACGTCTTGCTTTGAAGCTCTGATTTGAAACTTTTTGAACTCAACCACAAAACTCTATCTGAGGATTTTTTTTTGGGGGGGGGCACGGGGGCTGATTCAGACCCTCC